TCAGGAAGCCACCATTTCAGCCTTGATTTTCTCCATTTCTTTGCTTTAAAATAATCATCAAGCAGAAGAATGATTGAACAATAGAATAGCTGGGTTTTTTTCTTCATGTTATGTTATAAATACTTCCATAATGAATATTGATAGTTTTATTGTCATTGTACATAGAAAGTACAGAATGACAGATATGCTGATTTCAGTTTACGAACAGTTTTATGAGCTTACACAGTCTGCTGCAATACTTTACAAGTCCTGCCCTATTTTTTTTTTTAGTCGCTGCAAAATTCTGTTGACTGCTTTTGGCTCTGAGGGAAGCAGAAGACAATGTACACAGTAAACCTTGAAATGCCGTATCTCTTGAAAACCTTTTTTGCTTCAGTACTTGTGTTAACTGTAGCTAATCCTTTATAACTGTCTTGGGAAGACCAGTATTTGCAATTGTCCCATAAACTAGACTTCATAGGAGCTATGACAATGTGTGTCCCTGCTGCCAGCATGATTTCAAGTTATATTTACTGCTGACTTTACAAATGGTTGAGGCAGCCCCAAAATCTGCCATGTATGTGTCTCCTTTTGTAAGCATTTTTTAAGTACTGATACTGTAAACTGCAGTTCTGCGTATGTATCCCACCAGAAAGAAGGTTGCTTAACTCAGCAATTAACACTAATAATCCTTTCAATTGGATAAACTGTAACCTGAAAAACCATGACATAGGAAATAACATGTCCTAGAGGACTATTACATCAAAAAGCAATAAGAAATATTTCCTCCTATGATTCTTGTGGGTAATAGAGAGCTTAAGCAGTCCAACTTTTAAGACACTCTCCTCATGTTTTTGAAGTTATATCTCTTAGGCATCACCTTGATATATTGTCGTGGTTTAAAACCAGTCAGGCAGCTCGTTCACTCACTCCCCCCCTTCTTTCCCTCCCCCTACTCCCAGGGGGACAGAGAGGAGAATTGAAAAGAATGCAACTCCCACGGGTTGAGATAAGAACAGTTTAGTAACTAAGGTATAACACAAATCACTACTGCTACCACCAATAATAATAATGATAAAGGAAATAACAAGGGAAGAGAATACAACACCTCACCACCAGCCAACCGATAACTTGCCCCCCCCAGCCCGACCAAGCACCGATACCTCGTCCAACCCGCAGTCCTAGCCCTTTGGGGTGACTCTCAGTTACATCCCGGGCATGACATGCTGTGGTATGGAATACCTCTTTGGCTAGCTTGGGTCAGGTGTCCTGTCTCTGCTTCCTCCCGGCTTCCCCTCCTCCCTGGCAGAGCATGAGACTCACAAAGTCCTTGGTCAGACTAAAACATCCTTGTTATCAGCTCTGTTCCCAGGCCAAAAGTCAAAACACAGCACTGCACCAGCTACTAAGACGGTGAAAAATGACTGCTACTGCTGAACCCAGGACATATATTTACAGGGGAAATCTTTTAAAGCTGGGAATACAATAGCAAAATTAGTTATTGATGTGCCGTATGGACATAAGCTGAAGGTAAGAAAAGGAGCTATAGGGCTTACCTTGCTTAAGCTCAAAAGCTCTTTAGTGGCTATATGGCTACATTCTGGTTTTGAAAATAAGATCCGAATCCTATTCTAACCCACTTCTGTCCCACTACCCACTATATAATATGTGTCGGGTTGTGTGGTGCAGTAACCCAGAACAGAATCACAGAATCATAGAATAGTTAGGGTTGGAAAGGACCTTAAGATCATCTAGTTCCAACCCCCCTGCTGTAGGCAGGGACACCTTATGCTAAATCATATCACCCAAGGCCTCGTCCAACCTGGTCTTGAACACTGGCAGGGATGGAGCATTCACAACCTCCCTGGACAACCCATTCCAGTGCCTCACCACCCTAACAGGAAAGAATTTCCTTCTTATATCCAATCTAAACTTCCCCTGTTTAAGTTTGAACCCATTACCCCTTGTCCTATAACTACAGTCCCTAATGAACAGTCCATCCCCAGCATCCCTAAAGGCCCCCTTCAGATACTGGAAGGCTGCTATGAGGTCTCCACGCAGCCTTCTCTTCTCCAGGCTGAACAGCCCCAACTTCCTCAGCCTGTCTTCATACGGGAGGTGCTCCACTCCCCTGATCATCCTCATGGCCCTTCTCTGGACTTGTTCCAACAGTTCCATGTCCTTTTTATGTTGAGGACACCAGAACTGCACACAATACTCCAGGTGAGGTGTCACGAGAGCAGAGTAGAGGGGCAGGATCACCTCCTTCAATCTGCTGGTCATGCTCCTTTTGATGCAGCCCAGGATACGGTTGGCTTTCTGGGCTGCAAGCGCACACTGCTGGCCCATGTTCATTTTCTCATCAACCAACACCCCCAAGTCCTTCTCCTCAGGGCTGCTGTGAATCTCTTCTCTGCCCAACCTGTAGCTGTGCATGGGATTGCTCCGACCCAGGTGTAGGACCTTGCACTTGTCATGGTTAAACTTCATGAGGTTGCCATCAGCCCACCTCACAAGCGTGTCGAGGTCCCTCTGGATGGCATTCCTTCCCTCCAGAGTATCAACCAAACCACACAGCTTGGTGTCATCGGCAAACTTGCTGAGGGCACACTCAATCCCACTGTCCATGCCACCAACAAAGATGTTGAACAAGACCAGTCCCAACACCTATCCCTGAGGGACACCACTCATTACTGGTCTCCAGCCAGACATTGAGCCATTGACCACAACTCTTTGCGTGTGGCCATCCAGCCAGTTCTTTATCCACCGAGTGGTCCACCTATCAAATTGATGTTGCTCCAATTTAGAGACAAGGATGTTGTGTGGGACAGTGTCAAACACTTTACACAAGTCCAGGTAGACGACATCAACTGCTCTACCCCTGTCCATCAGTTCCGTAGCCCCATCATAGAAGGCCACCAAATTGGTCAGGCAGGATTTCCCCTTAGTGAAGCCATGCTGGCTGTCACCAAGCACCTTGTTGTTTTTCATGTGCCTTAGCATGCCTTCCAGGAGAATCTGCTCCAAGATTTTGCCAGGCACAGAGGTGAGACTGACTGGTCTGTAATTCCCCGGCTCATCCATTTTCCCCTTCTTGAAAATGGGCGTTATATTTCCCTTTTCCAGTCATCGGAAACTTCACCTGACTGCCATGATTTTTCAAATATGATGGCCAGAGGCTTCACAACTTCATTCACCAGCTCCTTCAGGACCCACGGATGGATGTCATCGGGACCCATGGACTTGTGCACATTCAGATTTTTAAGATGGTCTCAAACCAGTTCCACTCCTACAGTGGGCCTAGGGTCTTCATTCTCACAGTCCCTGCATCTGCCTTCCAAGACTTGGGTGGTTTGGCCAGAGCCTTTGCCAGTGAAGACAGAGGCAAAGAAGTCATTCAGAACCTCAGCCTTCTCCAAATCCTGTGTAGCCAGTTCTCCCAAGAGCTTCCTGAGGGGGCCTACATTTTCTCTAGTCTGTTTTTTATTTGCTATGTACTTGTAGAATCCCTTCCTGTTATCTTTAATACCTCTAGCTGAGTTTAATTCTAACTGGGCCTTAGCTTTCCTAACCTGGTCCCTAGCTTCCCGGACAACATCCCTGTACTCTTCCCATGCCACCTGTCCTTGCTTCCACTTATTATAAGCCTCTTTTTTCATCTGAATTTTCCTCAGGAGCTCCTTATCCATCCAAGGAGGTCTCCTGGCCCTCCTGCTGCACTTCCTTCTGGTTGGGATGCAACACTCCTGAGCTTGTAGCAGGTGATCTTTGAATATCAACCAACAGGCTTGGGCCCCCCTGCCCTCTAGGGCTGTATCCCATGGAACCTTCCTAAGCAGGTTCCTGAAGAGGCCAAAGTCTGCTCTTTTGAAGTCCAGGGCAGTGAGCTTGCTGCATGCTCTTCTCACTGTCCTGAGGATCTGAAATTCGACCATCTCATGATCGCTGCATCCAAGGCTGCCCTGGAGAGTCACATTTCCAATGAGCCCTTCCCTGTTGGGGAGCACGAGGTCAAGCATGGCACCTCTCCTTGTCGGCTCCTTTATTACTTGCAGAAAGAAGTTGTCTTCCACACAATCGAGGAACCTCCTGGATTGCTTGTGCCGGGCCGTACCGTCCTTCCAACAGATGTCAGGGTGGTTGAAGTCACCCATGAGAACAAGGGCCTGCGAGCGCGAGGCTTTTCCTATCTGTCTATGGAGTGCTTCATCCGCAGGTTCTCCTTGATCAGGCGGTCTGTAACAGATCCCCACAGTAATGTCTCCCATAGCTATAGTCCCTTTAACCCTGACCCACAAACTCTGTTAACTGCTCACCTGTCCCCAGACAGAGTTCCATACTCTCCAGCCTATCCCTAACATAAAGGGCAACTCCCCCTCCCTGCCTGCCAGGCCTGTCTTTTCTAAAGAGCCTGTAACCTTCCATTCCAACACTCCAGTCATAGGAGCCATCCCACCACGTTTCTGTGATGCCTATTATATCATACCCCCGTACACGTGCACACATCTCTAGTTCCTCTTGTTTGTTCCCCGTGCTACGGGCATTTGTATAGAGGCATCTGAGCTGAGCTCCAACTGAAGCCGGCTCATTGGCTGGAATGGCTGGGATATCTCTACAGTGCTCCAAGCATTTATTATAGGTTCTGGCAACTGACTGGGTGTGTTGGAATGGAATGATGCCCCCCTCCCCCAACACATCTAGTTTAAATCATCCTTGACCAGTCTGGCAAGCCTCCTGCCAAAACTGCTCTTTCCCTTAGACCAGCTCCACCAGCCCCCACTAGGCCTGGCCTACAAGCTTGGGTCCCGTGTTCAAGACACCCAAACCCCTGACTATGACACCACCCTTTTAACCATTTATTAACCTGGCCAATCCTCCTAGCTTGTTTTAGGTCATCCCCTGTATCCTGGAGAATTGATGAAAAGACTATCTGAGCTCCAGAGCCCCTAACCACCTCCCCCAGGGGTCTGTAGTCCTTCTATAGGATAGGTAATGACAATGACATGTTTATTTTGTAATGCTTTTATTGGAATAAATAGAAGGACCACCAATTAACATTCACAAAATCAATGGTACATCACTGCAATGAAGGTGCAAAATTGTGTCTGTCAGGAAGATATTGTATTTGGAGATGATAATCTATGAAGAAATGGTGGACTTTCTAGATGTTTCCTCAGAACAAGAGAGACAGACACAGGCACAGAGAGACACAGCCTTATACTAACATGCAGCACAAAGAAGCGCACATGCATTCCTGGAAGAAGAATGCTTTGCTAAAGCACAGAATTATGTCTGCAAGTTGCCCAGGCATCAATTCAGTGGTGGCTGTCCATAAAGGAACTGGGTTATTCTGAAAGCTGTGTTTCTTTCACTAACCACCTATAGAGAAACCAGATTGTCTATTAAAGTGGAAGTATTTCACACAAAAATCAAAACACTAGCCTGTCTCTCAAGTTATTCAATGGTGATGGGAGATATTCCTAAACTACCTCCTGAAATTCTCATTCACTCTTGGATATAAGTCCTGAATAAAAGTGGTGTGAGCAGAAATACCTGCACCTAAACATTTGAAAAGTCATACACTTCTTCAAGGACATCTCACTAGATATTGAAGGCTTTCCATTTGGAGAAAATATTGAAGAGATGAGATTATACTACAATCCTACAGTAAAGGGGATCTGTTTCTGAGGGGAAGACAAACTTCATTTCCAGCTCCTTTTCTTCTTAGGGAGAACAATATTTACCAACAAAAAGGATGAAGTTGGTTGGATTATGTTTGATGAAGAAAAGGAAAGGGCGGTCAGCCTTAAACTCTTCAAACTCAGAAGATTGTTTGATGTCTCCAATCACATCTGCTGAGCCAGCCATCTCAGTGCCCTCTTCATTGACTTCCATGTATGTCATATGGACGGCCTCTGATATCTTCAGGCTCTTTGCTGAAGAGATTCCAGACAGATCAGCTGAAGAGCTGAACAGGTCAGTCATACCCAAGGCCTTTAAGACAGCTATGAGGTTGTATTTTTCCTCAATCTTCATGCGCGGGAGGTACACTTTCACTCTCTTCTTTTCCATCACACTGGGACTGGTCCACTCCTTAAATTTATCAAAGTTGATTTTTTTCTCAATCTGCAAAGAGAGACAGGAATAAAATGCCTGAGACGAAAGTGCAAGGGCCTTAATGGCTGTGTTTATAGCATTCGCTACTATATTTTTCATTTAGTTTGTGTACACAATAGAACTGATACTTATCTTAAATATATTTGCTTATATCGTATGCTTCCTCCTGACTATGACCTATGTATCATCTGTCTTAATGAAGTTCTCCAAAACATTGTCATCTTAAAATTTCCTCATCAGATCAAAAGAACTGTTCCTCCTGGTATATATTTTATTGATCACTTCCCTCACCTTAGTTCCTTTCTAGTACTGCGTTTCCCACATTCCTTTTAGTCAGCTCCTGTACGGTCTTCCTCATCACTTCCATTTTTTAGTTCCCCTCAGATAAGGTTTTCTTACTTAGCAAACCCTTGAGTGCCTTCCTGGAAGACTGAAGTCACTCAAGATTTTAAAAAAATCTTGCTAGCATGTCTGTTTCTGGTACCTGATGGAGACCGATGCATATAACAACTGATTCAGGGCTATAGGAGCACTATTCTCCTTTACTTTTGTTTTATGAGCATGGAGCCCAGTGCTCTTCTAAGATGCCAGTCTCAGCCTGAGCACTTGGTAGCACTTGGGGGGGCTTTTGTGCTCCCCCACCTGCTCAGCACAACCATGGGGTAGGCAGCTGGGATGTAAATGGACAGCAAAAGATCTGGTGGCAGCCAGGTCCTACTGAACTGGTACCTCTTCTGTTTCCCCTGACAGGGCCATACCTGCTCCAGACCAGAGACATCGTCAGGCAACAGCACCAGCATGCTCAGCTTTCCACTGGCATATGGCAGCTCCAGGATCTTAATTTTCTCTGAAGGCACAATTCCCATTTTGAAGGTACTGTTCTGACACATCATTTGCACAGGTCTGCTTTCTTGCTGCAGAAACACAAACGTGAGATAATGTGACTGGGGAGTGAATTTTTCTTTGAGCAGGCAAAAGTACAAATTCTTTGAAAGGGACAGGAATTGATCTTGAAGCATGCTGCCTTTGAAAAAGACCTGTGTCTCCATTTTCCTCTCTTACATGCTGGTGTGCCCTGGAAGCCTGGTCATACACAACTCATGCAAACACCCCATGGGCTTAGGCCCAGGCTCTGGCAGTGAGGGACCTAGCTAAATCATCCAACCTGTGACAGCAACAGGCTGTATGTGTAACAGGTTGGCTGTGCAAGCCAACAGCTGTCCTGGCCAGAAGATGGGTCCATGCCCTCCTACCTCTGTCACACTGAAGGGTGCTTCCCGAGTGTCTTCTTCTTTAAATGCTGTCTTCCATATCGCTTTGAAGTAAATGGCATTCACAAGGACCAGTGCAGTATCTGGATTAACAGAGCCTGCCACAAGGAAATCTTGGATCTGTCCTTTAAGAAAGAGTCAGGGCAGAGAGTGATAAGTTACACTTGGTGTGCACAAATACCTGCAATGAAGGGCATGGGGATGGAGGGGTGCCACTTTGTGGAATTTTGTTTTCGTAGCAATAAGCAACCTGCTTTTGCTTGACCTCTTTTCCCTAGACATTATGAGGAGAAGAAGACAAGGGTATAGATTACGGTAGGTGGGGGAAAATATCTGCTACCCATTTTTCAGTCCTCACCATTTGTCTCTTTCTCCACCCAAGAATTAATGAGCTGTCTTGCTTCCTCTGCAGCTGTTTTGAAGTCAACTTCTTCCATACCTGCTTTGTAGAATTTCTTTGCACACTTTAAGTATTCCTGTAAGCAGAAGGATTGCTGTTGTCAGACAGATGAGTACTTGAAAATGTATGAATGTGAAATGCAAGACTGAAATGAAGCAGAATGGTTAAAAGAACAGTGAACCTATGCCCCTATGTTTGAACATGTCAGTCACTGCTGTCTTCCTGTAACTGAATCTTAAAGCTGTATAAGAAAGACTACTTCAAATACTTAGATCAGCACTTTTTTTAAGATAGGATTTTAAATTTAATTTTTTAAATATTTTCATAATTTTACTAGAACATGTTCAGTTTAATAAATAAATAATAAGAATAAAATAAACATTTTTAAGGACAAACAATGTTTGTTTCCTTTTCTTTGTGACTGCTTTTTATTTTTAATACTGTGTTCCTCCATTCTTAGATTCCAAAACCAAAGCTTCCTTTCACTGGGAAGATTTGATATTTGGCCTTGGAAAAAAAAAATGCAAATATGACAATTTCAGTCTTTGTGCTTTCAAGTCATAAAATATTTTTCATTTCCCTTAAAAGTTAAATTTTTCATTAAGAGACATATTCTAGCAAATGAACAGCTATCTTGATTACTGTCTATGACTGCTGCAATATGGGTGTATTTTATGCCATTATGCTTTTGCCTGACCTCCATATAACAACCACAAGAAGGTTCAAAGTCATTCTGAGCAAGTTCCCCTTATGGCTCACAACCACTTTTTCATCAACAACAGCAGGTTGGTGATGGTGGTGCTTCTGTAGGGTGGAGTCACAGGGCCTTTATGGGAAATCCTGCAGAAGTCAGGTCCCAGTACAACTCACCGTAAGAATGGGGTATGTTTTTTCAATATAGAGTTTGTCAGCAAACTTCAGCGAGTATGTAGCATTCAGCATGGTGAGGTCTGAGAGAAGATCCCTGAATGCATTATGGATGTATTCAGAAGTGCCACACTGAGGTGATGACATGAAAATAAGAAGACACATTGCATTAGTTTCTTCTTATAGTATCATAGAATCATAGAATGGTTAGAGTTGGGAAGGACCTTAAGATCATCTCATTCCAACTGCCCCTACTATGACATAAGACCTTAAAGGGTTGTCCCTATAAGTTAAGAGTCAGTCTGCAATGGAATCCTCCCCCACAGATATAGGACTGTCACCTTTGGGACAGCAGGTGCTGTGGTGGTGGTGCATTGTTCATCCTTCTCAAGGTAAGTCCCCTGAAAAGTGTGTTTTCTAAGAGCGCAGTTGTGTTTGTGTCACTGACACTCTTGGTTTGAGAATATTACCAGAGTTTTTGACAGGGTCTGAAACTGTTTTGTTCTGAGGAGAAAATCAGACAGAAAGGCGTATCAGGTTATTCTCTACCTCAGAGTCAATAGCATCTCCAACTCCTGTAATGTTATCAAAGTGAAGAACCTGCAAGAGAAAAAGCCAGTGGTAGAAATAACAAACATGACCAAGAATTATGTGAATTTGAGATTTACACATGATGCTTAACATTGAGTTGTTGGCTCAGAAAAATATATTGCTAACTGAAAACACAGATGAACTAAAAATTCACAAGTGAGCTTGCAATTGGTTTAAACCCTCTGTGGCCTTCTTGGGAACTGTAAATAATACTGTTTTCTTAGATGATAGTTTTTCTTTGGATGTCTAGAAATTAAATGAGTTCCATACGTACTGCTAATTGTATTCCTTTCTTCCTGGGGTTTGTGGTTTTTATATATAAAAAAAAAAACAACCTGAGCACATTATCTGGAAGATGTCAGAATTTAGACCAAAAAAAAGCAAACCATAAAATTTGACAACTGCTAATCTATTTTGTTGTTGTCCTTGATATTTTTTTCCTAGGTCATAACTAACTGCCCCTTATAGTGACAATATGCAACTTTCCTTAGTATTTTCTCAGAATAACTCTCAAACCAATTCTCCATTTTGTGACTATGGCTTACTCTTTTATATTAAAACAGGTGACAAGCTCATCAGTGGTTAGTATATTTCAGTGATATTACTTAGAAGGAGCAACAAGCACAAGCAGAGGTCACTTTACACCCATGTCAAGTAACTTACCTTCTCCATCTGAGACTGAGTGTTACCTCTTGCTCCCAGATAGACCATGGCCAGGGTTGAAATGATGCTCAGGGAGGAGTAGAAGATGTTGTCGTTAACATGGTGGACTTTCAGCTCTTTGAAAACATCAAAAGCAAATTCTGCATTTGCTTCACTGATGGAGCCCATTGTGAAATCAATGCTGTCTAAAGCAAACAGAAAGAGTCTGGCTTATTATATTGAAATACAATAATGGTAATGCAAGAAAGTCAGTACACTTGAACCGCTGAGCTCAGTGCATAAGGTTTTTCTTTGCAACAAACAGAATCCAGTGGTATGGATTTAAAAGGCAGGCGTGCTTTTGGATTCATGAGCAATGAACGTGCTGGGTAGGTACAGATTATGCATAAACTGGTGATTGTCTTATTTGAAACTTGATTTCTCCCTCTCTGTATATGTACACCATATAGTTGAAAATGTTGCAAAGAATATTAGTTACCTTGAAAGAAGCATATTAACAGTCTTGTCTCTTAAGAAAAAAAGAATCAACATAGATATTTTTGAGACTCTAAATCAGGCTCTTCACTATCATTCTTAACATCACTTTTAAGATCAATAAAGAGATTAACAGGTCAGCCATCTATGATCCAAACTGATGTTAATTTCAGTATACAATGTACATGTCTGAAACAACAGCATAAGTTTTGTTAGATTTATTCTAATTTCAGCCCAGAGAAGATAGATTCTTACACCACCTACTTTATCAGAGGCCCCCAAAATTAGCAACATTACTTTTACTTCTTTAAACGGGATTATAAAGGCGTATCGTTAATTGCATCTCACTGTTTCAAAAAAGCGTTCTTTAATTTTTTATCACCTTTTCCATAAAATACACCCTTTAATAAGACAGTGCTTGTTCAGCCTTTTGATTAATTTGCAGAGCTCTTCACATCTTCTGTATTTAAGTATTTTTCTGCCCTTTTCCTCACATCCTTGTAAAATTTTCCCTGTATTTTCAGCACCTCACATTTTGTATAACACTGGAGGAAATTATTTTTTAATAAAGGAGACAATACAGAATAGAAAATACAATACTGTAAAGTCTAATACAACAGTATAGCATCTATACCACTTACAGTTTCCCACATGTTGACACAAAGAGAGAGAACCTTGCTAGGGTGGTGAGTTTTTTCTTTAATCTTAGAAAATGCGACTAAAAGACAATACAGAGCTGCAGTATGCTGGGGTCACCTGAGCACACTGCATTCCTTAATTTCATTCAGAGAATATCCATAAAACCTGCAAGTGAGCTTTAGCTGCACCCTCTGGAATTTAAGCAAATTCAATTTTGTCTTTTAATCCTTAATGAAAAATTAAAGGGATAGAAGAAAAAGGAAGAAAGGTTGTCACAGCATATCACCAGTTTTCAACGTGAAAAAGCTATTAAACAAAACGTTAGTTCATACAAACAAATACTTTGACTTTTATGCATGGTAGAATATGAAACAGTAAAGTAATGCAGAACGCATGTGAAGGTGAGGTGAGGTGTCGGCAGAAGGCATCCTTTAATCATTTGTTTCTTCAACTAACACTGAAAGTCACAAACATGAGGTTACATCAACAAAGCTTTTTGCAAGTTTTGTTACAGACAATTTTTCCTAAATTGCAGAAGAGAACTTCAATCATCATCAAAAGAAGTGCTTACCTTTTCAGCTTCACCTGCAAAGGTAATAGTACAGCTTCTCAGCTGTACTTGGTGTAGACTTGCCGAACTCCTGGGAATATATGTGTAATTTTGTGACACGCCCCACGCTGCCTGTTCTGTGTTTAACAAATAAAATGATGGATGGATCTCAATGTCAGATGTGTACTTTTACTTGGAATAAGTCCATTCTTTAAAAAAAAAAAAAAAAAGCCTGAATGCCTGAATGAAAGAATTTTCCACTAAAATCCCTAACATGTCCAGAATGGGAGATTTATTCATATAGCACATGAAACCTTGCAGAAAAGAAAGGATCGTCTTGAAATAGCTGAAGCAAAAATAGTGAAAAAGCTATTCATTGGAACTTGAATTGTAAGTATGATTTTATAATGGCAGGAAATAGTGTGGCATAGCTCATGAAAATAAAAAATGTGAGAAGTTGAGCCTTGCAGAATGTCTCTAAGGAATTTTGAGTTTATTTCTTAGTTATTCCTCTGTAATGAGTACTGACAGGCCAGTCCCCTTTCAGACTCTTTGTTCTATTAACTCAAAAAAATTATTAAGATCAGCATCTGAAGGACTGCTTGCTATGGTATGCCCACACTGTACTTATTGCAGCTTTTCTCTCTCCTGTTGCTGGCTGGACTACCAACATCACTGGTCTTTCTTTCAACCAGAGTACATTGCTCTTGCTGAAGAATGGGGAAACTTCTGCTACCAAGGAACTTGAGAAAGAGCACATCCTTCAAATGTTAGTTGCCAAATTTAATAATATTGAAAAAGATTATTCTGCAAAAACATGTATGTAATTCCCCAGTGCCACTGTTTCACAGTTTCACAGACCTCAGTTTCACAGCTTTTCATCCCACAGCAATCTAACTCAGGGAACTCAGATGCAGTCACAGTCTGTACAGCACATCAGTAGAACAAAACCTTTAGTGAGCATATTGTGGGAATAAAAACTAATTTCAAAGGTAATATTCAGAGTATCTGTATAGAGAAGTATTACAGAGTTGAAGAAAAATGTGTTGGGGAAACAAGGGTTGAGGTTGCTTTTCAAATTCAGGCATCAGGATATTTAGATCCCAGTCAGATTGTACCATAGAATCATAGAATGATCAGGATTGGAAGGGACCTTAAAGCTCATCTAGTTCCAAGCCCCCTGACATGGGCAGGGACACCTTCCACTAGACCAGATTGCTCAAAGCCCTGTCCAGACTGGCCTTGAACACTGCCAGGGATGGAGCAGCCACAATTGCTCTGTGCAGCCTGTGCCATTGCCTCACCACCCTCACAGTAAAGAATGTCTTCTGAAATCCATCTAATTTAAATATTTCCTTTTTTAACTTAAAGCCATTCCCCCCTTGTCCTGTCACTACATGCCCTTGTAAAAAGTCCCTCTCCATCGTTCTTGCAGACCCCTTTAGGTACTGGAAGGCTGCTTTAAGGTCTCACTGGAGCCTTCTCCAGGCTGAACAACCAGAAAAGGATTCAAACTCACTGCTAAAATTTTGAGGAATAGTTTAAGGTGAGTTTGTCCTTTTCCACAGGTCACAGCACCAGATGCCAGATTCAAAATGTGCCTTTTGTGCATATAAAGACCATTTTTCAGATCTTTCATAAGTAACTTCATGGTACATCAGGTGAAGAAAACAGCTGAAAAAACATTCATGGTCTGCAGGACAGTCATAATATACAATAGCAAGCAGAAAAGTCACATAATTCCTTTGTAATGAAAGAATGAACAGACAATAAAAGAAACGGCTTTGACCTCTCTGAATGCCATGTGATTTTAAAACAGAAATCCAAAGTCAATACACAAAATGCCTCTGAAATTGTTTAGAACAAATCATGCTCCTGCAAAAAAAAAAAGAGGTGAACTCTTTAACCCTTTTAGTTGTCTATACAAGTGAAAAGCCTCTGAACTCTCCATGCCTTTCTCCTTAAGGCAGTCCTTGCTAGTCCTGTTAAGCTGAAGATGCTAGTGCAATAACAGCGAAGAGCTCAGTCTGGACTGGTGTACTTACATACCACTAGTATTTTAGATGGCACAACGACACACACCCAGGCTTGTCTGCTACAGCCATTGCTATGCAGCAAGCGTGCTTTTGAGGAAAGATGTTTAGCCCTTGCCTCACATTGTTAGCCCATCACTGCAAATCTTTTGTAAAGACAGTAAGCTATTCCCTCACAGGAGTGATACATAAATGGTACTACACCACTGGTTTAAGTCTGTTTATCTGAAAATGGTATCACCATGATGGTAGAAAGACAGATTAAATAGGTGAATGTGTCTGTACAGTGCTGAATACTTTTAATAGCACGACTGGCAGAACTCTCTAAAGTGCAAGCTGTTCCTGTATCTGCTGCCCCTTCTGCTTTTTCTGCTTAAGACTGCTTTGATTCTGTTCAAATAGGCTTTAACACGCATGGCCATGGTCCATTGTTATATACTTTACAGCTCAGAAGTCAGAGGATTAGCCAATATGTTCTACCCTGTCAGTTATAACTTTCCAGTATGACTTGAATCTTTTTTCTTGACAACCAAATTGTCTAGCAGTACAGTCTGTCACTTTGGCATTTATGCACCGTCTACCTGAATCACATTTGGATCATCCTAGTCAGCTTGTGACTTAGAAGATACAAAGATATCAAGTAAGCCAGTACAGTTGTTTCACAGCAGCCAATTTGTAGCATTAATATTGTTGGCAATAGCATGTTTTTTTAAAATAATTCCTAGTTGAATATATTCATTAATAAGAGCTGGAGCACTGCAACATCTTTCTTAAGGGTTAAAGAGGGAGGCAGAGCACCTTGGGAGAAAAGGTGATGCAGGAATCATAGGAAGATTGAAGGGAGAGTGCACATCAGTTATAACCATCCTGGCTTTGATGCTAAAATCTTCATTCCTTCTAGGCCAGGTTGGATGGGGCTTTGAGCAATCTGGTCTACTGGAAGGTGTCTCTGACCTGGACAGGGGTTTTGGAACTAGATGATACTTAAGGTTCCTTCCAACCCAAACCATTGTGTGATTCTATGATTCCGTGAAAGGAATTTTTTTGTTTTGCAGTACAGAAGGGACAGTACACTCCTCTAGAAGCATGCCAATACACAAGCCAGGTTACAGTTTTTGTTAGCATTTCCATTTTTTGTTGGGCACATCAATGGATTGCTCTTTCCAGAACAGCTGTGTAATGCACACAAAAACAAAAGGATGTGTTTTGCCACATGTCATTTCAACAATGCTTGTCCCAAGAAAGAGGTCAGCTAAGGCTTTGCTGTCCTTTACTCTGACAGGCATTTCATTGTGGTGCTGTCCCTAAACCAACAGACTCAAGCATTTGAGCCTTTCCAAAAGGATATGAAGTCCAGGTCAGCTCACAGACCAGAGCACAATCCAATCACAAGAGCCCACGCAGAACTCCAGAGTTGAGTTCCCCTCCACTCTGGTGCTCTTTTGACAGTACAAAGGAGCATTTTGGTTGTTTCATGTTTGTCTGGCTCAGAGTGACTGCCAGTGATTGTTTAGTTAGTTGCCACTGCAGACCCTGTTGCTGTAGCTATCAATGATGGTTTATCTCTCAATTGTCCTTTCGGACTGTGTTCTTTCCCCACTCTGAAGAAAATTTGGTGTCTGGTCAAGCTTCTTCAGACAGGAGCTTGTAGCCCAAATGGCACTTGTTACCCTGGAGAGAAGAAAGTTCAGTATGGTCTTATCCAGGTGCATAACTTATTTGATGGGAGGGTGAAAAGAAGATGGAGCTAGACTTTCTCTAGTGTTTTAGGCAAGAGAGAATTGACACAACTTGAAGTAGCATAAATTCTATTTAAACATATGAAAACACATTTGCTTATGAGGAGGGAGATAAAGCCAGGCTGCCCAAAGAGGCTGTGGAGTCTCCATCCTTGGAAATATTCAAAACCCAGCAGGGTTGCTGTAGCTGACCTTGCTTGAAGAGGGGATCTTAGTGTAGACAGTTGACAGAAGTAACTTCCAGTCTCAGGTGTTCTGTGATTTTGTGTTGTAAGTAAAGGAAGATCTCCAGGGAGATGGAGACAGCAGGGTTATTCTCCATTACTATGCAAAGTACTGTGGTACAGATAAGGCACTTACTATAGGAATGTATGGCAAGTCCCAGAGTACCGTTTCCATGTTGTACGGGGAGCAACATCATGTCATACTGGGGAGACCTGGGCCTCTCTTTGTGCTTTCTAAAGGTGTGTTAGTTGTATCAAGAGGTGCAGAAGGTTTCAGACTTTTTCTTGCCCCCATGTGTTACCTGCCAAGCCTTTCCTCTGGTGCTGCACAGTAGTCTGCCAGAGTAAAAGGGTCTTAATTCTTCAGAAAACAAAAAAAAACATAAGCCTTTGGAAGGCCAGTAGCAACAAGGAGGTTTTAGAGGTTTATTTATTTTTCTCTGTTTTCAACTAAAACATTTTGGAGCATTTTAATATTGTTTAAATTTTATTAAATTGCTAAAATAAAATATTGTTAAAATGAGAACCAGAACCATGCCTTGGAAATGAAACCTGCCAGGTGAAAGCACAGAGGTTCTCATGCAGAGTGTTGGGTCCAGCCATGCTCCTGAAGCATATGAACCTTTCCACTGCATGGTTGGTTGGTGGTTGAGAGCACAGGGTCTGAATCACAAAAGCCATCTCTCTGGGACGCAAGAAGGACTGCTTGCCCCTAATATCCCTAGGGTTTTGGAATGCTCAGAGGCCACACCAGGCATTCATCATCCCGCTGGCCAGGTCTGACACCCCTTTCCTGGGGAATACTTTTCCACTGCTCTTTAAATATTGTGCCTCCTGCCTGGTTTGTGGTGACCAGGTCCAGGTCATAGCCATTGGCACTGTGTTGCAGGTTTGGTACAGTACTGCTGAATTTGCACTTTTTGCTGCATCCTGTTTCCCCTTTTGAGAAAGGGGAAACATAGAATTATAGAAACATAGAATAGTTAGGGTTGGAAAGCACCTTAAGATCATCAAGTTCCAACCCCCCTGCCATGGGCAGGGACACCTCACACTAAACCGTATCACCCAAGGCCTCGTCCAACCCGGTCTTGAACACTGACAGGGATGGAGCATTCACAACCTCCCTGGGCAACCTATTCCAGTGCCTCACCACCCTAACAGGAAAGAATTTCCTCCTTATATCCAATCTAAACTTACCCTGTTTAAGTTTTAACCCATTACCCCTTGTCCTATTACTACAGTCCCTAATGAAGAGTCCCTCCCCAGCATCCCTAAAGGCCCCCTTCAGATACTGGAAGGCTGCTATGAGGTCTCCACGCAGCCTTCTCTTCTCCAGGCTGAACAGCCCCAACTTTCTCAGCCTGTCTTCATACTGCTGAGAAACATTGTACTTGCTTGTAAGCCTTGTGGCTCTTTTGCTTTTTTCCCATTCCTTCATTTTGACATTTGTTGTTCAGGAAGCAACATTGGTCAGTGAGGCATATATTTGTACTTTAAGCATTTTCCAGTTTAATAATCATAGGAAGGCTAGTTTGAAAATGTAACCCTTTTCAAATCTTACTGTTTAAGTGTACAGGCTTTTAAAATTAAGGGACTGGATTAACCGCATCTGGCTACAAGAGATGCAAGGAGTGAATAAACTGCTTA